TTTGGGGGCCGGGCCTTTTAGCTCTCCCATATTTGATACTCTGTCTTCTAACTACCCTTACCCCTTAATAGTACCAGTTCCCCATAGAAGCCCCACACACAATTATTTATAACACGATCCAATGTTCGCCGTCCATGAGGTGTTCCCCGATGGTCTGTAGTCGTTCTGGAAATATTACGGCAGTAAGGGTTGGCAGAGGTAGACATATGGCATAAGTAGGACAGTGTGATGAAGCAGGGGGGGGGGCCTCCATAAGACTTGCTTAAGGAAGAAAATAGTCAACAGCAAGTAAGAAAGTCCTAATAAGTGCATTGCATTTACACAATAAGTAATGATGAAATTACAACCCCCTCTACATGAACAGAGATACAAGAACCAGCAACAAAGGGGAGAAAAAAGAGGTCTGTACATATAGAATAACAATTAGAGGATAAATTAGCACGCGTTTTAGAAGAAGCTGTAGCTAACTCAGAGCGAAAGTAGAGGCATAGATACTGTATTAAAAACTGGGAGGAGTTGCTGCATGAATGCCAATACTTGGGAGAAGTGATTCCGGGAATAGGTTCATTAGTTGTCTGCTAGAAAAACACCCCACAATCAGGTCCAATGTTTAAGATAGGAATCAGAACGCAGCGTAGCCGCGGGATAGAGTGTAGCCAGAGTGTTGAGTACTTGCACTGTGTGCCTGCAGGTGAGGAGCATGCAAGTACCAAACTCGAACTCGTTTGAAATTAAATGCTCCCGAAAACCTACCGAACAGGGCTACTTGCAAGAGGAGAAATGCAAAAAAAAAAAAGGAAAGTATGTTAAATAGTAATAATGATAGATTAGATAACGTATAGTAAATGAAGCACTGATGTTGCAGTTAATCACTAAAATGGGCAATATCGCAGTTGGGGGGGCCGACCTACACCTGAAGGCCACTGCTGGCGGTTTAGTCTGGAACACAACACATGGAAGTGAAGCAGTGTAACTGTCAATTATGATTAAAGCCTGAATAATAACGGATAGAGTAGAGGCAAGTCCACAGGTCCAGTGGATGCCGGCTTTCTAGGAGAGAACTAAGGGCGTGCTATCATGCTCACCCTTAGCGGCAGGAACTGAAGGCAAGAAGTGAGTGGGCTATCTTAAACCGACAGCACCGGGAACATAAACTGCAACGCCCAGGCTGTCAAGATGAATGGTCTGAACAGATTTTTGGGAGAAGAACACTCTAGGGCTAATTTAAGTGATGACAGACGGATAACACTCCCTAGTCGAGGACACCGCGGGTAAGGCAGAATGCGACTAACGCTAAACTGTGGGTAAATGCCTATTATTGGTAAGCCCGATGTTAGACAGGGTACCTAAGCAGGATCCTAGGGAAAAAGGCAAATTCGTAGGATGAATTGGCAGCGGTCCGCTGAAACGGTTGGAGTCAGGTGGGAGCAGGCCGGGCCACGCCCTCCTCCTCGTCACAGAGGGTGGGGTGTCCCCTCCATGATGTTTCTGTGGAGGAGGGGAGGAAGGCGGTAGCGTAAGTGAAACCAGGTATGGTGGCGCAAGTAAAAAAACCTGAATCGACAATGTACTTGCACTTTTAATCATATAAAGCATTATAGACATGAATAAAAACCCTGCCGGTAGTGGGGGTAGCATGGACGCCTCTCATGTAGCATGTCCGTGGAAGGAAAATGTAACGATCATGGTCAACATCATGTAGTCCAAGGTGAATAGGGGAGGAGGCAGCTCCAGACCCGTCCTGTAACACGTCATTAAGGTAATGAAGTAACAGGCACCATTAAAATTCAGAAGCTGAAAGGGAAGCATTAAAGGCCCATGAATACATTATAGTATGGGTAGCATTATAGTATGGCTGTTCGCCATATTATAGAATGGATATAAATTCACTTGAACGTGTCCAGCGTAGGATGACTAAGTTAATTCCCCAAATTAGAAATCTTTCATATGAAGAAAGATTAACAAAGCTTAAGTTGCATTCACTGGAAAGGCGAAGAGTTAGGGGTGACATGATAGAGGTTTACAAGTGGGTGAATGGACATAACAAAGGGAATATTAATAGGGTATTAAAAGTATCAGCACAAGACAGAACACGATACAATGGGTATAAATTGGATAAGTTTAGATTTAGGAAAGACTTGGGTAAATACTGGTTCAGTAACAGGGTTGTTGATTTGTGGAACCAATTACCGCGTAACGTGCTGGAGGTGGGGTCCCTCGATTGTTTCAAGCGCGGGTTGGACAAGTATATGAGTGGGATTGGGTGGTTATAAATAGGAGCTGCCTCGTATGGGCCAATAGGCCTTCTGCAGTTACCTTTGTTCTTATGTTCTTAAACTAAACCAAACTGGCCTAACTTCCCAAGAGATTCTCTTATGATCGCATGGAAGAGAAATAAATACCTCAAAGACCATCTGGTCCAGGCAAGTCTAAGACGCGAGACCCAGTCTGCACAGGCAAGGAACTTGGTATGCAGCAGAACCAGCCTTCCTACACTTACCTACCAGTGGAAAATTTTTTTTGTTTTTTCTACAGGGTTTGAGGAGTGGTTAGAAGGCGCCTTTCATGTGTAACGATTCTATTTTATATTTAACGATTCATGTGTTACGTAAAGTATGGTGACAAATAAACACAGACACTAAGATACTATATATATATTTGGTCGAATATACAGAAGTACACAGGTGATACTTTGGTGTGAGTTGAGCGCACTGAGCCTCGGTATTGTATCTCACAAGTGTCTGCTCTAGACCACACTTGAAAGTAGACTTGTTTAATGTTTGCTATTCTGCTGCTTATATGCTCGGGCAACACCTCACCGTGTTGCCCGGGCAACGCCTCACCTCATTCATCTCCAAAGGTTGACAGGAATATTAACAATGCATTTGGAGCGAGTATATTATTGGGATAATCTACTCGCTACAGAACTCCCCCTCCCAGGGGATGAAAGGAAAAATACTTGATCAAGGAACTTGATCTGGTTGGTGAATTGTACGCCCTGCTCGCGTTACATAACCATCAAAGTTAACTTCCTCCTCTTCGCTGATGTCATCTAACTGGGGTCGTAGGGTGGGAGGTCGCACAGGATCGTCCGTCGTCGTAGGAGGCGGTGCTGCTGGTAACTGTGGTCGAAAAGTGAACTGCATAGTCGGCGGATGTGTCTCTGGATTTAGCAGTGTCGCAAACGTTGAGACGAAGCCTCGAGCAGAGCAGAGAGTTGAGTGAGGCTGGAGTCGTGGAGCTCTATGTGGGAGAGCGTGGCGGCTCGATTGAGAATTGTGAGTGTCTGAACTCGGGGAGCGAGAGCGTGGCGGCTCGATGTAGTCGTAGTCTCCTGTCTGCTCTGTGTCGAAGCTGTAGCGTCTTGGGTTGATTAGGACTGTACACGCCGAGTACTACATGTGTTGACTGTGGAAATTGTAGTCTGGTACCAAAAGATGTAGGTACAGTGTGTGGACAAGCTCGGTGTAGCAGGAGAGAAGAATATGCATAATTGTTGCGTCCTTGGGTCGCTGTCGCAATGTGGAGCATTGTAAAAATTGTACATCACTACTTCTCTTAATACAACAAATATGAGAAAAGAACTAACAATTCATCATGAATGATCAGACATCCTTAAAGCTTTACCATCAATCTAACATGTACTTAGAAGTCACTGATGATAAGTTCATCTATGCCCCAATCTTCAAAAGATCCGTCTGGCAAATATCTGCGAATGATGATGGGAATTTTCCGTTCTCTCAATTCTCTGGCAGCAATTTGGAGCGGATCCGATTCTGCATCAATTTCCACCATGACAGGCGCACACATTGCAATCTGCAGTGCTCTCGTGCCCAATACTCTAGCTCTTTCATATTTTGTCATATAAGGTGTCGTGATTCTCTTGAGCATAGGCACTGGCTGACCTTCCCCTGCAGGTACCAACTCTGTCTGGTTATCATCATCCTCCTCTCCTTGCAGGTCATCCAGATTCTCATCATCTTCTGCCTCCTCGAAGTCATCACCAACATCATCACCATCGAACTCCTCGTCAGCCATCTCGCGTTCCTGTTTGCACCAAGGTCTTCTCCCAGCTATAAGCAAGACTCGCGTGGCCGTGTGTGACGCAGCGCTGAGCGTCGGTACAGTATCTCCCAAGTGTCTGCTCTAGACCACAATTGAAAGTAGACTAGTTTAATGTTTGTGTTGTTGTTGTTAAAGATTTAGCTATTCAGGACGGAGTGTCCATGTAGCACGGGCTATGGTGAGCCCGTAATTGAGTTTGGTGATATACATGATAACCTTTTTCCTGTGATATTTAGGTCTAAGTTTAAAATGGAGGAGAGGACTTCTCCTTTTTCCCTGCTTATTTTGTCGCTGCTGTTTTATTGCACTGGTTTTAATCTTTTTTTATTAACATTATCTTGGTGGCGGATGTAGATGCAGAATGCTCACTAATGAGTCCCATTCCTCAACAGCTTTTCTAATCATTGTAGTCGCGGTGGAATGTGCATCTAATGCAGCTGCTGTCGTTGGATTAATGTTGAGTTTGATGCGCAGGGCTTCAGTAGCTTCACATTCTAGTAAGTAGTGCAATATCGGCGCCTCTGCTTCTGTTTCACAGATGTGACACTAACTATTGGGTTCATTACCTCCCAGCAGCACTTGTACCCAAGTCTGAGTCTGTGTATGGCTACTGCAATGTCTCTGGATATCTTTTTGCCAGGCTTGAAAGAGGCGTAACCGGTGGCTTGTTCGTACCATATCGCAGTGGATCTTCCTTCCGCTACTTTGGTTCTGTGGCCACTTTTGATAGTTTAGAATATTTTCTTCTTGATTTGCTCCTTTATCTGTGAGAAACTTGGAGGGATTTGAACCTGTACAACAGGTAGAGCAGTGGCAGTTTTTGCTAGTGAGTCTGCCTTTTCATTACCCTTTGTGCCAATGTGACTTGATATCCAATTTAGGGTGATTGACAGCCCTCGATTATGGGCATCTTTTCCTATATGTTGAATTTCTGTGAGGAGATGTATATTATCTCTGTGCTGACTGGATAACAATGCCTGGAGCGAAGATTTAGAGTCTGTATGAATGATGACATCATGTAAATTATTCTCAATTGTACGGTTCATTGCCTCCTTCATGGCATATAATTCTGTTTGCAGTGTTGAGCACCCACTATTCATGCTCCAGTAAGCTTCATGGTTGGCAGTGTAAACTGCTGCCCCAGCAGAACCTTTTTCTTGATCAACTGATCCGTCTGTGAAGATGTGAGTCGTTGTGGGTCTAGAGATAGTTTCCATTTGTTGCTCTATTACTTCCTTGAGCCTCTGCGGGTCACATGCTGATTTTTTAACTGATAATCTTTCAATGATTATCTTTAGAGTCGATTCTTCCCATGGAGGAGGCTGTCGAAAGTGTTGATATGGTCTATCTTCCCCTTTGTTTTTAATGGTCCATTTCATGTCCATTTTCTCTAAAATCTTGACCACATTATCCATCCATGAGCTTGTTCTATACTGTAGGTTTTTCTGAAAGGATCTCTGTATGCTGTCTTTGATTGACAGCCTGGCGGTTGTTCCAGTAAGTTTTCCTATTATGGTGGCTATCCTTTGTTTCATCCTGTTTTCTAATGCTGGTAAATTTGTTTCCAGTCTAAGGTTCTCTCTACGCGTCCATATAGGTGCTCCAAGCATTGTTCGCAGAGCATCATTTTGAGACACTTCCAGTTTCTCCCACTGGTTATCACTGAGGGATGTAAGAGCAGGAGCAGCATAGTCGATGAGTGACCTAACTGCTTGAACGTAGTACATTTTGAGTACTGGTAGAGATGCACCCTCTCTAAGACTGGTCAGAGAGCGCAAAACTGAGTTTCTGGCTTTACAGCGTTGCCGAAGATATTCAATTTCTTGAGTGAATTTCAACTGGTTGTCTATTATAACTCCTAGGTATTGAAAAGAGGTAACCCACTCAATTTCTTATCCTTGTATTGCCAGTCTGATGTCTTGAGTTCTCATTTTAACGGCCATTGCTTTTGTTTTATTGCTGTTTATTTCCACTGCTATGCGTTCCGCTTCCTTGCTGATAATATCTAGGCATTTTTGTGCATGGTTCCTTGCACCTTTGCCATTGATGATGACCACAAAGTCTTCTGCATAGTTAAGAAGTTTGGCTTTTGGTAGCTTGAGCTTCATGAATTGTTCCATGAGACAGTTGAAGAGGAAGGGGCTTAGTATTCCTCCCTGCGGAGTTCCATTTTCCAGCCTCTTTGAGGTCGATGTTTTTCCTTGGAATTTGACTTTAGCTTCTCGGTTAAGCAGGCTTCCTTTGGCAAAAGGAAGAGCGTGTCCTTTGATTTCCTTATCCACAAGGCAGCACAGTGTAGCTGGAGCACTGGCTAACTGGAAGGCTTTTTCAAGGTCTAGAAAAATAAGGATTCCAGGTTTGTTATTGATTTTATCTAGGAGGGAGGTAAGGCATTCTGTGGTTCCAACACCTTTTCTGTAAGCAAACATATTTTGGGAAGTGAGTGGGCTATCTTAAACCGACAGCACCGGGAACATAAACTGCAACGCCCAGGCTGTCAAGATGAATGGTCTGAACAGATTTTTGGGAGAAGAACACTCTAGGGCTAATTTAAGTGATGACAGACGGATAACACTCCCTAGTCGAGGACACCGCGGGTAAGGCAGAATGCGACTAACGCTAAACTGTGGGTAAATGCCTATTATTGGTAAGCCCGATGTTAGACAGGGTACCTAAGCAGGATCCTAGGGAAAAAGGCAAATTCGTAGGATGAATTGGCAGCGGTCCGCTGAAACGGTTGGAGTCAGGTGGGAGCAGGCCGGGCCACGCCCTCCTCCTCGTCACAGAGGGTGGGGTGTCCCCTCCATGATGTTTCTGTGGAGGAGGGGAGGAAGGCGGTAGCGTAAGTGAAACCAGGTATGGTGGCGCAAGTAAAAAAACCTGAATCGACAATGTACTTGCACTTTTAATCATATAAAGCATTATAGACATGAATAAAAACCCTGCCGGTAGTGGGGGTAGCATGGACGCCTCTCATGTAGCATGTCCGTGGAAGGAAAATGTAACGATCATGGTCAACATCATGTAGTCCAAGGTGAATAGGGGAGGAGGCAGCTCCAGACCCGTCCTGTAACACGTCATTAAGGTAATGAAGTAACAGGCACCATTAAAATTCAGAAGCTGAAAGGGAAGCATTAAAGGCCCATGAATACATTATAGTATGGGTAGCATTATAGTATGGCTGTTCGCCATATTATAGAATGGATATAAATTCACTTGAACGTGTCCAGCGTAGGATGACTAAGTTAATTCCCCAAATTAGAAATCTTTCATATGAAGAAAGATTAACAAAGCTTAAGTTGCATTCACTGGAAAGGCGAAGAGTTAGGGGTGACATGATAGAGGTTTACAAGTGGGTGAATGGACATAACAAAGGGAATATTAATAGGGTATTAAAAGTATCAGCACAAGACAGAACACGATACAATGGGTATAAATTGGATAAGTTTAGATTTAGGAAAGACTTGGGTAAATACTGGTTCAGTAACAGGGTTGTTGATTTGTGGAACCAATTACCGCGTAACGTGCTGGAGGTGGGGTCCCTCGATTGTTTCAAGCGCGGGTTGGACAAGTATATGAGTGGGATTGGGTGGTTATAAATAGGAGCTGCCTCGTATGGGCCAATAGGCCTTCTGCAGTTACCTTTGTTCTTATGTTCTTAAACTAAACCAAACTGGCCTAACTTCCCAAGAGATTCTCTTATGATCGCATGGAAGAGAAATAAATACCTCAAAGACCATCTGGTCCAGGCAAGTCTAAGACGCGAGACCCAGTCTGCACAGGCAAGGAACTTGGTATGCAGCAGAACCAGCCTTCCTACACTTACCTACCAGTGGAAAATTTTTTTTGTTTTTTCTACAGGGTTTGAGGAGTGGTTAGAAGGCGCCTTTCATGTGTAACGATTCTATTTTATATTTAACGATTCATGTGTTACGTAAAGTATGGTGACAAATAAACACAGACACTAAGATACTATATATATATTTGGTCGAATATACAGAAGTACACAGGTGATACTTTGGTGTGAGTTGAGCGCACTGAGCCTCGGTATTGTATCTCACAAGTGTCTGCTCTAGACCACACTTGAAAGTAGACTTGTTTAATGTTTGCTATTCTGCTGCTTATATGCTCGGGCAACACCTCACCGTGTTGCCCGGGCAACGCCTCACCTCATTCATCTCCAAAGGTTGACAGGAATATTAACAATGCATTTGGAGCGAGTATATTATTGGGATAATCTACTCGCTACAGAACTCCCCCTCCCAGGGGATGAAAGGAAAAATACTTGATCAAGGAACTTGATCTGGTTGGTGAATTGTACGCCCTGCTCGCGTTACATAACCATCAAAGTTAACTTCCTCCTCTTCGCTGATGTCATCTAACTGGGGTCGTAGGGTGGGAGGTCGCACAGGATCGTCCGTCGTCGTAGGAGGCGGTGCTGCTGGTAACTGTGGTCGAAAAGTGAACTGCATAGTCGGCGGATGTGTCTCTGGATTTAGCAGTGTCGCAAACGTTGAGACGAAGCCTCGAGCAGAGCAGAGAGTTGAGTGAGGCTGGAGTCGTGGAGCTCTATGTGGGAGAGCGTGGCGGCTCGATTGAGAATTGTGAGTGTCTGAACTCGGGGAGCGAGAGCGTGGCGGCTCGATGTAGTCGTAGTCTCCTGTCTGCTCTGTGTCGAAGCTGTAGCGTCTTGGGTTGATTAGGACTGTACACGCCGAGTACTACATGTGTTGACTGTGGAAATTGTAGTCTGGTACCAAAAGATGTAGGTACAGTGTGTGGACAAGCTCGGTGTAGCAGGAGAGAAGAATATGCATAATTGTTGCGTCCTTGGGTCGCTGTCGCAATGTGGAGCATTGTAAAAATTGTACATCACTACTTCTCTTAATACAACAAATATGAGAAAAGAACTAACAATTCATCATGAATGATCAGACATCCTTAAAGCTTTACCATCAATCTAACATGTACTTAGAAGTCACTGATGATAAGTTCATCTATGCCCCAATCTTCAAAAGATCCGTCTGGCAAATATCTGCGAATGATGATGG